GGGGCGCCAGAACTCTGGCCACTACATCTACACGGTGTCGGAGCACCTGCTACCTTTCGCCCTCAAGAACTATGGTACAGACTTTGTCTTTATACAGGATAATGCTTCAATCCATGCATCTCACGAGACCACATCGTTTTTCGAAGAGATTGGGCTGCAGCCCCTTTCCTGGCCTGCTCGCTCCCCCGATCTTAATCCGATTGAGAATGTATGGGCAATTTTGGCCAGAAAAGTCTACAATCACGGGAAGCAGTACAATTCAGTCTCAGAGCTTACTGTTGCCGCCATGCAAGCTTGGGAATCGGTGGCAACGAGAGAATTACACGACCTGCTGTACTCCATGTCATCTCGCTGTTTTAAGGTCACCTGCGGAAAGGGAGAAAACATTAACTATTAGGAACTTGGCTACATTTCCTTATACTAAAATCAAGTCAATGTTTGTCCCTAAGTTTTGTCGTGCTGCCAAATCGATGTAGTTGTATGCCAACCCCCGCACACGCTTCGAAATCTAGATTGTTAGCACAAACCCTCCACTCTCCTTTATGATCGGAGATACATATCTAAACAGCGGCCTCTAGTTCGACCTAGAAACCGAGTTATGACCTAGAATGTGAGTGTCCCAAATCATTTGTCGCGGAGTGTAGAACTTACATAACTTCCGTGAGTAAATTTAAAAAAGTTTACAAACAACTCTCTCTCTCTCTCTCTCTCTCTCTGATTTGTTTAGCGATTTCTATACGTATTCTAAACAAAGACTGGCTGGCTGACTTATCCTTACCGGTAAGGGCTGGTTTTTGTGGAAGAGCTAGAAGTAAAGTTTGTCAATAGTGCTCGATAGTACACGTTTTTAAGCATTAAGCATGCCTGGTGCATTGCATTTAAATTGGTGGTGGTGGCCTTTCTCTCTAATTCTCCCTGTAGGACGAGCTATTGTCGCTCCAAATTTGGTATTGACGTGTTCGCGAGTGCTGTTGGCTTCACCTTTTTTTTAGGAGAGTAGGTGCTTTGTACATTCGATCCAAATGAATACTTCTACAGAAAAAGCCGTGTAAATCAGGTGGTTTGTATGGAATTCTTCGTGTAGATTGAACGAAGACTTCCTTAAATGCAAAAATTTCAGGTATACTAAGCGTTGGATAAAACCTCAAAATGCAATCATTCACATGAATTCGCCGTGCATTTTGCACGAAGCGTTTCAAAGCGCTTTATTCAGTAAATAGAAACGACTGAAAACATCTTCTCATTGCGTTGTTTGTGGCTTATGCTCTCTAGCTAATGCATCCCAGGACAGATGCTCTAACCTTCGTTCTCTTCCCCTAATAGAGGAGGTTGAGAAAGGAAGTGTTGTGGTTTCACTTCGCTGTCTACTCGACTGGATACCTACCGCTGCCTGTGCACACTGTACGCGCGTGCCGGACGTGGCTCTCTAGTTGAAGTGGGGGCAAATGCTGCGACCTCATTGGACCATGCGGGTTGAAGTTTGCGCACCAGATGGGATTTGCATGGATATCACGTGCATTGATGTGTGTTTTGTAAACGAGTTTGTATACAACTTCCTGTTCCAGAAAATGTCCCTGTTGCAGAAATGCCTTCGCACTCAAGTCTCCCTGTTACAGGATACTTGAGTGCGAAGGGGGATGCCTGCAAGAAGGTACTAGGAGAGCTACATGTGTAGAATGAAACAAGCAGGATTAGGACTTCTAACTCAATTGATCTCACTTTC